GGTGAAACGGGTCAAATGAAATAACTGACCACGGGCGTAAGTGGAGATTTCTCCGGATGACTGTCTTCACTAAGGTCCCGCTCAGCAGCCGGCGTCAGCAGCGCAGCAGCAGGAGTCGTTTGATGTGGTGAAGTCGGTGGCGTTGTTTTGGGGGGAAGGGGAGAAATCCGGTTGTGAATGTGGTGCTGGGGAAACTGCTGGTGATGTGGGTGTTGGTGATGGGGAAGGTGCTTGCCTTGGTGGTGCGGTTGGGAGTGGTGTGGAGAAGAGTTGCTGGTCCTGCTGACGTTGCATGTCTTTGAGTTCTTGCCATCGGGCTTGGCATTGCTCCACGGAGAAGCCCACTCGGCGAGCCACAGTGGTCCAGTTGGGACGAAGTTTGGGGTTTTCTTTGAGTTCGACCAGGCGACAGTCGGCGTCGCCGTCCCAAGCATCCCAGTCCGCCTGTTGGTTCAGTGGTGGTGGGGGTGGTTGCTTCCGCTTGCGTGTTGTGGTGGGTTGTGGATCTGGGGGTGTTGTTGGAGTGTCGTCTGAGTCTTTTGAGGGTGGTGCTGGTAAACGGATGGGTGGTCTGGATGGTGCTGAGTCACAGGATGAGGTGGTAGATGGTAAACGTATAGGGTGGTTGGGCGGAGTTGGAAGTGGCTGAAAGTGTTGGCGGAAAGTGGGATCCGCTTGGTGGCAGTGGTGGAGGAAAACAGTGTGAAGGTGTGCTACAATATCTGTTGCTTGTCGAAGCAGGTTTTGCACCTGCGAAAGTACCACTGTGGTTCTGTGTATGAGAGTTGAGGTGTCGTTGTGTAGAGGTGTCGGTGTGCTGCTCATGATTCGGAGATGTAGGGGTGTACAGTAGCCAAGAATCGTCACAGGTTGCTGCAGCAGCGCGCCAAAGCAGCCGGACAGCGGCGAGTCTGAGGGAGCGCGTCATCACGAGGGCGTGCATATGAATTAAGCGAGCATCAAATTCCCACAGGCAAAAATACGAAAATGCAATGCCGGTTGGACAGTCAAGTACATGAGAGTCTGACATGTGAAATACTCCATCAAAAACAGCCGGTACAATTCGAAGAAAGATGTTTACAGCAAACACTGCCGAGCTTGAAAAATTGAGGGTTCAAAATTCGCGTTGCCGCTGCAGGAGGCTCTTTGTGGCTGCTACAAGCAAAGGTTAGGTGGTGGTGTGAGACCAAAAGTGGATGTGGAGGTGGTAGTGGTGTGTAGATGTGTGGTAGTGGTGTTATGTGTCCGGTGGAGTGGAGTTTGTGGACCAGGCCAGTCCTTTGACAATGGCGTGGTCCGGGTGGATCACCCAGCAGCGGCCCTTCTGATGAAAGACTGCACCATGGTGGTCGTTAAGGAGGTTCATGGCGTGTTCCTCACCTCCAGAGGTATATTTTGTGGCAGCACCCCAAGCAAGGAGTGTGATGATAAGGGAATGGGAGTTCTTGTGGAGTTGCCAGGTGTTGTGGATGATGCGGGCAAGTTCGTTGTGGTCATGGGGTTGGTTGTGGGTGATGCGAACGCCCTGGGCAAAAAATCCAGGGTAGTTGGCAAAGTGGAGTGCGCTGGGTAAAAATCGGCCCTGGCGTAGAATGTTGGAGATGTTGCCGACGGGGCCTGTGTGGCCTGCGTTGATGTGGGCGACTTCCCGGTGGGTTGATGTGGCTCGGGAAACCGCAGGTGGTTCTGGTGTAGTGGCTTTGGCGTTGAGGAAGGGAAGTGAAATGGCATAGTACTGGAATTGGTCGTATTGGTGAGTGGTGTCGTTCCACTTGGCGTGAGTGTATTGTCGGAAATCGGTGATCTCCTTGTAGGTGATGTTGCAGTCTGTGAGGATATTGGCAATGTACTGGTGTTGTGGTCGGTTGGGATTGTCGAGTTGGGTGGCGTGGAATTCGAGCCATTCCAGGATTTGGTCTGCAGGTGTAAAGGTGTGAAAGTTGGGTGGAGGTCGCCAACGGTTGATTGGGCGACGGAGGACGGCTGTGGTGGGAAATTGAGAAGGGTCTGGGTTGGCGTGTTCAGTGTTAGGGCGTAAATCAATGGGATGTGGTGGTGAGCGACTGCGAGATGGCGTAAGGCTGGATGTGTAGGTGGATGTTGAAGGCGAACGCCGTCGCCGGGTTGTGCTGTGATGTTTGGAGTGGCGGTGATGGCGATGTCGGCGGCGGTGGCGGTGGCGTCCTCTGTGGTGATGGTCGGACTTGCGTCGGCTCTTGTGGTGGTGGCGGCGACTGCTGTGTGGTGGTTGTGGGGAAGGTGGTTGTGGTGCTGGTGAGGCGATGGTGTCAGGTTTGTCTGGTGCAGGTAGTGTAGATCCGGTCGCTGGTGTGGCTGATACTAGCGATGGGGATGCAGAATGTTGGGATACAGTAGCTGGAGGGGTCGTGTTTTGGACTGACAATGGAGTGTCCGGGGCAGTCGTGGGGATGGGTTGGATTGGTGGTGTTGGATCCGATGGTGGCGGTTGGACTGGTGTTGAGGCGTTGATGGTTTGTGGATGTGGGAAAGGTGGGTGCAGTTGATGGCTGTGGCAGCGGCCATGGGGGTTGAGGTTGTGTGGTAGGTAATGGTGGTGGCGTGGTGTGAGCGTAGGGCCACGGAAAATGCATGTCGTGGTCGTAGCTATGGCGCGGCGCGGCGCGGCAGCAAAAAGGCAGCGGAGTAGTGCTGAGTTGTATTGTCTTGTTGTTGTTGAAGGTGTCATCTCAAGTGTCGACGGTGAGTATGTTGTAAGGTGGTGCTAGATGTGAGCTTGTTGGTAGGTGTGTATTCATGCATCTCGAATTAAGCTGAAGAGCTGTAATGCCCATCCTTGAGTTCTGTCTATGAAAGAATCACGGCATCAATATAGCAAAACGTGGAAACACACACATGATTGGAAGACGAGAAAAGAAATCTGAATGCTGAAATCGGAAATCTGAAAGCTGGAATGCGAAGTATTCTTCAAGAACCGTTTTTTGGCCCGGCGGCCGGTGTGGCAGTTGATTCTGTGAGGGTGTCGGTGCCTTCCTGTGAGATTCCAGTGAGCGGTGGTGCGTTGGGGTGGTTGCTTTCCCATGCAGAATTGGCGCCCCTGTGACGGGGATCACACTCAGCACCCGAGTGGGACGGCTGAGCAGGACACACTTCGAACTTGGGTTGTCAGTTAACGCAATTGCCACGTTGGGAAGGAAGGCGATAGAACAGCATGGTGCAAAGTCCGACAACTTGGAAATGTTTGAACATCGATTGTTTCACTTGACGTCGATCAGCGGCCGGCTGCAGCGCACGAACAGTGGGAAACCTGTTTGTGGGAGGGTATCATGAAGAAGAACCATGGAAACAAAGAAACAGCAGCAGGGTGGACCATTGGTGTCATTGCGTTCAAAGCAGGTACACACCGAGACGTCTCTCGGTGCATCCCCCGTCACATCCTAGCTTCGTTGGGCCAGGTTGGATGTGACAGGCCTGACCCCCCTGCTCATGTAGGGTAGAAATAGTGGTGGTGGAAAACCCTTTGTCCAGGGCTGGACACACACACACACACACATGTGGCCGCTTCGCGGCGCTCCTCGCACCGGCGGTGCGTATGTCGTCGGAAACCTGAATAGCTACCTACCTTAGAAAAAGAACGGGAAACGGAAAAAGAAAAGAACAAGCAAAGGAAAAGGGCAAGAAAGAAAGACAGGTGTAAAAGGCCATGCATGTCTGCCGAACGAACGGCAAATTACCGAGTTAAAACCAGAATAGCCACCTAACAAGCCTTGGAAAGGAAGAAAGACAGAAAGAGCAAGAAGAAAAGGGGAAGAGAGAAAGATAGGTGTACAAGGCCATGCATGTCTGCCGAACGAGCAGTCAAAACCTGAATGGGCACCTAACAAGCCTTAGAAAGGAAAGAAAGACAGAAAGAGAAAACGAAGAGGGCAAGAGAGAAAGGTAGGTGTGTAGTCAAAAAGGGAATAAACCTAGTTACTGAATACTTGGCGGCCGTTAGTTACGCGCAATAGTTGGGGAGCGGGACTTTAGTCTTAAACCGCCCGGGCAGAGTAGACTAGAAA